TCCAACCTCCCCATGAATGAGTGATTTGTATGTTTGTTTGTCTAGATTAGTTATGTGTTAGTGTTTAGTTAATAAACCTTTTCTGCGTTTCTGGCTCTGTCACCGCTTGTATATAGTGTCCCTTTTACGATCCAATCTACATGCTCTAATGCGTTACTGTAAGAAAGTTATTTTCTGTGGCCACGAAAATATCCTTTCTTAGAGTTGATATGAAATTATACTGAATGTTCGCTGGATGAACAGATTAATTGATTGTAATATTAATTCTGCTACAGTTACTACTGGCAGCTGAGGTAAATAATTGTAATTATAATTTTAATTATTTATATACATTTCCCTTTTGAGCTAATTTGCTACATGTAAATAAATTTTTCCTTCATTTGTTATCTGCAATGTTTATGGTCTTTTCAGGCAGGATAAGCAATATATTGAAATCGTTTAGGTGGGTGTGTCTCCTGCACACTGGCGACACAGGTAACTGAGCCATCACAAAATTTCTGTATTTCTTTATGTACATAATTATGCAGGAAATATTAAACATCAACATATGGTATATTAGTATCAGAAATGGATTTGAATATACAATAAATACAATGAAAGCCTCTGCTACAATTGCTCTGTTGTATTGAAATTCAAATCTTGGAAATAAAGCTTCATGTCTTTAAGTCCGTACCTTATTTAATCAGCGTTATTTCTCTGAATACGTTGTGTATATTTTTAATGTCCCTGATTGAGCAACATCTATTTCAGACTCTTAAAAAGCATGCATATTCGCTACTGTAATGTATAAGAATGTAACTTTTTTTTTTTTAATACGCAGGGGAAATTCCAGACATTAAACATAACCATTTACATGCTAGGACGTCTGCGTTGTAAGAATGTACAGCGAGATCTTAGATTTAAAAAAAAAAAAAAGCTGACTAGATATTTTATCATGAAAATACGATTTCCTATTCATTCAATAGAATGTATAGAATACCAATATGGCAGCGTCACTTTGACATCGTGAGCAATCCAGTTCTGTATTATAGACCATTGGTTTTGTCCCATCGCTATGATTATCACAATGTTAAGCGTCGCAGTTTCAGATTCAGTCCCACATTTTGATAGTCATCGCTCCTGAAACGTTACAGTGTATACTCCGCATGAAAAAAAAAAGCCTTTATACAAATTATGAATCGGTTCTACACAGAAAGTGAGCAAAGGCGCTACCTTGTAATCAATGAAGCGGATATCAGTTCAGCCACAGCACACGCTCACCGAATGCGTGAAAACTCCTGTGACGAGCAAAAAATAAAAAATAAAGTCTATACTGCACAATGAATATCTTATTTACATTGTGTTGGTTATACTTTGTTGATTGTAGTGAAAATATTTGTGAGAGTGCAGAGCTCATTCTGAACAAACTGAGTCAGACCATAGCTGTAACCAGAATTTGAAAAGGAGTGAGGTCTGTGGTGGGGTTAAGAATTGTTCTATAAAAAGCCCTAGAAACAACTCGTATACACTAAACACTTTAAAAGAAACGTAAATGTAGATGTTTGTTAAAAAGTTCTGTTTTGGAGGGGTGAACCTTGTTAATTGACCCCCAGATTTAGGGGGAAGGAAAAAAAAAAAAAAAACCCACACACAACTTGCTAATATGAAAATTTATTGGCACCTAGTCATTCACAATACACACAAAAAAAAAAAAAAAAAAACCACCTCTTTTAGGTTACCTGAATCAGACAGTGCTTGTCCCTTTCTGCCGAAACCACACGTGCAGTCACAGCACATGCACACCTGGTCATTGTCATCTACAGAAGGCAAACAAAACTGGTTACCCATTCCGAACTCATGATACTAGACAAATGAAAACAGGGCAAAATAAAACAAATATAGCCATTTATGAAGGAGCAAGCCTTGTTCTCTGGACATGTGGGGGTTGAGGCCATGACTGCCTTTAGAGCACAGGTGATGTACACCTACAGAACGACACATGATCAGTAAAACAACTCACAGAACTCACCCACAGAACTACAGCCCAAATTACAATACCAAGCCACTATCATCTTGCTGGAATCTGAAAGCCTCTAACTGAAACTGCAGCTTGTCACTCTGAATACGACGCATGAAGCTGGAAGTGGAGCCTGTAAGCTTTGCATCTACCAGGCACCTGAAGAGAATGCGTGGAGGGGGGGAGGGGGGGGCTTCAAGCTTCAGGAACTGCCCTAGGAAGTATTGATTGGATGGCCTCTCAAACATCCAGTCATCTGAAATTAAAGTCACATTGGCAACACTACCTAGTCACTTATAAAAGTTAACACTTAAATACATATTACCAGTCATGAGCCTCAAGGAGATCACCAGAACTTCCTCTGCAACTTTAGTTGCAGCAAAAGGAACCCAAGCGGGCAACAAGATATCGCTGCTTACATTATGCAACCTATTGGGATTAGTAAAAGAGGATTAAGTGTCAGTTTGGTCAAACTTCTTAGACAAAGTAGTTTACTACCTTGAATAGTGGCACTCAATTCCAACAGCTGCTACATCAGCCCTTACAATGGGAGTTCCTACTAAAGCCGCAGGAGTATAGAGGAGGTTGAATGTATACACAAGCTCATTATCAGTCATCTGAAAGCAGTATAAGTGGTGAATTATTGGACAGAACTAATTTTACACAAATTCTACAGTTGACCTATATGCAGCCACTCACCACCAGAGAGCGGTCACATGTCTGGAGCTCATACTCAAATATAAGAACTTCAGCTTCTGGATTCTCCCCTACAGCTGCACAGCCTCCTAAAGTGAGAAATGAAGGATTCACCAGCTGACCAGTACCAAAGAAGTCCTTCTTAACCTCCACATGCACAAAGTTCTCCCCACATTGTGCTGCAACACTCTGGGGAGCTATAGGTACACGCGGCTCAAAAGGCACATCTGGCTGTTGGGGTTCTTCTGGCATTACTGGAAAATGCCAGGTCAAAGGTGCCATAGGAGCCTGCATAAGCTGTTTGGACTGACTACTTCCAGGTTCTTGAAGCTTCCGTGCATCCACCCCAGCAGGCCTCATTGCAGGTCTTGGAGGCCGAAAAGTTGTTGATGCCTGTGGATCTTGAACAGATTGCTGAGGAGCTAAAACTGGCGACTGTTGCTGTTGGAATCATAGTGGAGCCTGGCCTTATTGAAATCTTGACCACTGTGCCAAACTGAAGTCAACGGCAATAAACAACAACAAGCCAACACAACTAAACACCACCAGCCTCATTGTTAAAAAAAAATCTGAAACCTTCAGAATAGCTACTGGCTTTCTCTGATGCCTTTTTCAAGAGTAGGAAGTTAAAATAAAGGGGGTGGCCCTTTTGACAAGCTTAATGATTTTCCAGACCTGTTTCATTAAAGGTTTTGGACACCTCAAACGAGTACAACCTAGATCCAGGTGACTCACTTGTTTTGCTTCTGGGTCAAACTGTCCGTTGGACATCAAGCAGTGAAACAAGAAAGTTCCTAAATAGTTTATTTTACAAAAGATACAAACATTTTCTTTAATTCAGACTTTGATAAATATGACCATAAAACCATAGTCCAGCAATATGCAAAATATGTTTTTGGTTTCTAAATGTTTCTTAAATAGTTAGTTTGATGCTCTTGGCAGCGAGTATTTCATTGCACAAAACGCCTTGTGGTTTGTACCAAGCAGCCTTGCTCCCAGTCCTTGTAAGCTTCACTCTAAAAAGATTTGAAGTGCTGTATGTTGAAATGAGTGCCATAGATACTAGGATGGCCTACTATTTCCAGGGGATGTTCAAAGTGCTAATAATCCATGTACACTGTGTTTTAAATAAAATAAAATGTAAGGTTGCAGCTTGAATGTTGAAAATCTGCTTCATTCAGTTCCTACTATTTCCAGGGGATGTTCAAAGTGCTAATAATCCATGTACACTGTGTTTTAAATAAAATAAAATGTAAGGTTACAGCTTGAATGTTGAAAATCTGCTTCATTCAGTTCATGTTATATGGTCAGACAAAAATATTAAAGTTGTGATGAAGTGGAAGTAGAGACAGGTCTTTTCTTCTGTATTGGGTATCTGAAATAAATAATTTAGAGTGGGGTCATTAGTTGTCAACTGGCAGATCCAAATGCGAGTTTGCAGGCAACTGTAGAACAGAATAAGCCTGGTATAAGTCACAAGAGAGAACTGTCGTCTCACTGGAAGATATATTTGAGTGGAAGTTATATTTGAATAAGTGCTGTCAAAATTAATACTTTAACACATGCGATTGATTATTTTTTTTCAGTTTAACATGTTACAAATATTTCACGCAATTAATGCAGAGGCGGAGCTAGGGTTGGCCACCCCACTCACTGTGACTTCTGTCTCTTTTTTTCTTGACAAGAATTGTGTTTATTTAGACGCAGAACGTCTTTACAACTACATCATCGGCTCCGCCTTGGCTCCTAGCTCCCTCGTCTGCACCGTGGCCCGTCATCCCACCAGCTCCACCGGGCTCCCTCGTCCCTCCGGTTCCGCCTTGGTCAGTCATCGACCATCCGCCGCCTCGGGACTCCACTCCTCTGGCTTCGCCTCGTTACTCCGTCCCTCAGGCTCTGTCAGGCTCCTCCTTCCCTCCGGCTCCACCTTCGTCCTCTGTCGCTCTGGCTCCGCCGCGGCCTTCTGGAGCCCCGCCTCCGCCTTGGTCGCCTGAGCCTTCAGCTCCGCCTTCGCCATTTGGATCCTCGGTGTCACCCTGGCTCTGCGGTTGCTTGACTCCAACCTGGGCTCCTACTCCACCAGCGTCATCTCCGTCAGTCGGCCCCCGTCTCCTCCCTCTGGTGACTCCATCGTGGGCCACAATCCTGGCTGGCCTCTGGAGCTCTATCTGGCTGCTCCTGCTCCAGGCTCCTCCCTGGCTCCTCCCTCCATCCACTCCACCCTGGCACTATGAACTATTCTCCTTTTCCATTGCCTGCCCATTGCCTGCCCCACGCCCTCCTCCTGAACCCCCATCCTCCCTCCTCTGTTGGATTGTTTATAGGCGCGAGGACGCCCCTTCCGGGAGGGTGGCGAACTGTCATGAGGCGCGTTTCCATTACAGATTTGTGCAAAACTTTGGCGATATTTTATAAATGTCGATAAAAAAGTATTGCGAAATGACGGCGTTTCCATTAACCAATGTTATGTGACTAAAATGTAACCTTTTGCCTCTTGCGATAAGTCGTGGTATTTTTGCGAAATTGACACGTTTCCATTAAGCGTATTTTCAATTCGCAATTTCAGTTTGCGCAGTTTGAAGGGTAATGGAAACGCGCCTATGGTTATGTTCTGTTTTGGTCATAACATAACCCTGAGTCCCCTTGTCTATTAGTTTCCATGGTTTTTTATTAATTTGCTAGTTAGTCATTATTAGTTTACTCCCTTCACCTGTTTTCCCATCGTCAGCTGCCCTACTTAAAGTCTTCCTTCTGTTCTGTAGTCTGTCGGTGATTGTTTGATATTTGATGTTATGACTACCCTGAGCTGGTTCCTTGCCTGAGTTTTTTTGTGGATTATAATATTAAAGACTTTTCGTTGTGGATTATCCTCGTCTTCTTCGCCTTCCTTTTGAGAGACTGTAACAAGCATAAGATATATTACAATATATTAGATATAACACAATATCAGTGGATATCAATATATATATATATATATATATATAATTTTTTTATTTTTTGATATTATGATTAAGACGTGGACACTTACATGTAGTCAAGATATAAGGAAGATGTTTTTACTTTTTTACTCAATGGTTACACCACATGACATTTTTAGAGTCATTAAATATTTAATCTTTTCTTGAAAATGTTCAAAACCATATGACACCCACATGAACACAAAAAGTAAGAACTTGAAAGTTGAAGGTTTTTGATTTACATTATTTTTTAATAATATGTTATTCAATATTGACTATTAAGAGCAGAACACACATCAAAAAATCTAAGCCATACTGCTAAACATGTTGGGGCAATTAAGCAGTCAAGCGCCACGATCAACACTCCATCCCTTGAGATCCCCATGAGAGGTGCAAATTACACAAA